TATATATAGATGGGAACATATTTCAGTTGAATATTTACCTCTGGTTTGGGAAACTCTTAAAGCATTCTTGTACTTTTTGGCAACTCAGGAAAATTTTATAGATGTAACTATAAGATAAAAAATATTACGTAGCACAATAAGAATGCTGTGTGGAATTGTGGTCTTCATTTAAGATGCTTCCTTTCACTGACAGGATAAACTAAAATATTTTGGAGAGTAGTTAAATGAAACAGACTTCAATAATTAATAGAAACATATGTCAGTTGGATACTTGCCTCATGTTTGAGAAAATATAAAGCGTAATTGTATTTAAAGATTTGAGTTTAAGCAACTCAATAATTTTTAAAAGAAGTATCTTTGAGATAAAAGGTATTCTACAAATTAGAATAAACACTGCCTGAAATTGTAGTCTTCATTTAGGTTGATCAGTGGCTGTTCCCAAGCTGTGGAATCACCTTCCTTGGGGCACCTCTGTGTTTTCATGAGCAAGTAAGTACTTTTTTTATTCAAAGAGGCATTTGATAAATATAGGCAGCCCTCACTGTCTGAAAACTTTTTGGAAGTTCTGCTGTTTTGACAGATCTAAATTATAGCACTGTTCTGCACTTTTGACTACTGTTTCTTTTTTTAGCATGCTGGGGGGGGGGGTGTCTTTCAGTTGACCCAATACCATCTAGTGATTAGTCTTGCATTTGCTTTTTTTTTTTAAGTTCCACTTTTCAACCAATTTCATTTTCTGATAGTGGTCAGTCTCTAAACAGTCAGATAATCACAGACTTCCTGTACAATTATGAACAGTATTTCTATGGGGCTGTTGTATTTTTATCTTTATTGTTATTTTTAGAAGAGAGAAAATATAATCATAAGATTTTGATGAGAGAAACTTGCTATTTCAAAAATAATGGTACGTGTTTACTCCTGGGGATGAGACAGTGATTTTGACTATTAGGTTTCTTGAAATCCAAAACACCCGAAGGACCAATGGTTGGAAATTTCTGGTTTAGATAGAAATTTTCTTTAAAATGTTGTAATTATGAATTTTTGTTTTTCTTTAAAGATCCAAGAGATGTAACCAATACAATATACCTAAAAATACCAAAGATTGGACAAAAAGAACCTGCAAGATAATTGGTGACCAATTGCCTTAAGCTTGGAAACATGGTAACTCCTCTTTTTGTCAAGATGTAACAGAGACCATTTTAATGATCTTAACAAAACAAGATTACATGAAGATGGAAATTACTGTTTTGCCCAACAATTAAAACAATGTGTTTCTTGTGGTAAGGAGTTCCTAGAGACATCTACAAGGAAGGAAACAATCCTAAATAATATAGATTTCTGAGAAACCAACTGTTCTTGTCACTTCAAATCCTGATGCCTTTAAATAGCTTGTGATCTACAAATATTTACATATATAGTTATCAGCAGCCATAGGAACCTTTGGCCAAGTGGCTCTACTTGATAGCCTTTCTTGGTGCCTCCCTGCTACTTCACTGGTGTCATGAAAAACAGATCTTGAGCTGTTTT